TGGGAGGGACTGGGAGATACTGGGATGGACTGGGCTGTACTGGGATGGACTGGGCTTTACTGGGATGGACTGGGCTGTACTGGGATGGTCTGGGTGGGTTTGAACGGGCTCTTCTAGCCTCCAACGCCTCCCATTGGCTGCTGCGACCGCCCATCACCACCATCAGCCAATCAGCGCAGGGAGATGGGAGCTGAAGGCGGCATCATTTAGGACTGTTTCTGCCTACAACTCCCGTCATGCACCGCGGCTCCATAGAGCCTTATTGGAGTCAGCACTACAACTCCCGTCATACACCGCGGCCCCATTCAGCCCCATTGGAGCCGGGACTGCAACTCCCGTCATGCACAGCGACCACATTGAGCCCTATTGGAGCCGACACTACAACTCCCGTCATGCACCGCGACCCTATTGAGCCCAGTTGGAGCCGGCACTACAACTCCCATCATGCACCGCGGCCCCGTTGAGCCCTATTGGAGCCGGCACTACAACTCCCGTCATGCACCGCGGCCCCATTGAGCCCTATTAGAACCTGGACTGCAACTCCCGTCATAAACATTTATGCAAATTTAAGCCTCTCTTATAACTTTAACATGGATCGCCCTTTTAACATTCTTGTTGCTTTATGCTCCTGAGGTCATGTTTGTGTGACCCCTATTCCACAACCTCAGCAGATGGTCCTTGTCGATAGAGAAGTGTTTATAACAGGGGTCCCTGGCCTTTCCGTGCAGATGAGCCCATCCAAAGGGTGGTGCTCTCGCCAGCCAGACTCCTTGTGCCACAAACCATGGATGTTTTACAGGCTACTCAGACAAAGATATTTTTCTAATATGCATACCAAAGCAACTATCATGGCATTCCTCTGGTAGGTCGGGTTCCATGCTGGTCTTTTTCTCATGCATTCCTTTCTCCTTGTCTTATCTTTTGGTCAGTGTAATTGCAGCCAGGGCACCATTCATCTCCCTGTGACTTTTTGTATAGTTTTGCTATAATGTGCAGGAAAAATCCTACATGGAAAAGTTTCTACAATATTTGAAAGTGTCCCGTAACTACATCTAAATTACAAAAAAATAAGAACAGTAGTTATTTCATAATCATGTTCACATAACTAAACTTCTTTTTAAAAATAAGACAACATCATATTATGATGCACCATACATAGCATCCCTTTTTTTAATCTCTGCGAAAGCCAACACTATAATATGTGTTCATCACATCCCTCTAATGAGA